AAAGGAGTGACTATGATAGAACAAGAGAGAAGGAAGGATGAAATGAAAAGGAAGAAAAAAAAAGAGAGTAAAATTATAATCCATAAAGGTAAAGAAAAGGGAAATGTAAAATAGAGATAAATAAAATGATAAAATATTGAAGGTTAAATTTCTATTTTGATCTTTCTATTTTGGTAAAAAGTCTCTTTTTAATATTCTATTTAAAAAAAAAAAAAACCTTTTTTTAGTCCCTAAAATTTGAAATCGACCTCTTTTTAGTCTCTTCATTAAGTTTTGTATACGTGTCACATTAGATAACAAAAATTTTAAAGTAGAGGGACCAAAAGGGTTAAAAATAACCTTAATTTTGGTCCATTTACTTTGGAAAAAACCCTTTTTTGATTCATTTATTTTAAAATTTTTGTCATATAATATTAAAACTTAATGAAGGGACTAAAAAGAGGTTCGATTTCAAATTTTAAGATCAAAAAATGGGCTTTTTTAAGTAAATGATCTAAATTTGGGTTTTAACCAATATTGAATAAGAAGTTAAGAGATAAAATTGCAAGAAAAATTAAAAATGTGGGAAGTGAAGTAAAAATAAGTGAAAAAGAATAAGAGAATAATGGTCAAATGTTGTGCCACATATATTCTTGCATATATTTCTAATATAGACAATGAGAGAGAGAGAGAGGGGGGGGGGAATAGGGCAGAAAAGAAATATAAAATGATAGATGGAGATTTAAGAAATAATTAAGGAAGAATAATATATAAAGAAAAATAAGGAATATGAAAAAATAGTCATAAATAAATTATTAAAATAAAAGGAGATGAAGAGAAAAATGTACTTTATAAAGAAAAATAATAATAGAATGTGAGAGAAAAAGTTAAGAGATAGAATTCCAAACAAAAATAATGATATGAGTAAAGGTAATTGAAAATGTATTAGGAGAATAATGTTAAGAAGTTGCATTCTTTATATTTTGACATCAAACTTTTATAAAAAAAACTTGTTGAAATAGAAAAAAAAAAGGTAAAAAAATAAGATATATAATAATAAATTGAGAAACATAAAATCTCTAATAAATAATAATAGAGATGAGAGTATAATAAAAGAAAGAATAATATGTAAGATTGGGAAATAAATATAATCAAATAAAGGGTTTGTTTGATATAATGGTTAAAATTTGATTGTGTGGTTATTGGATAACAGGTGGTAAATAACAAAAGCAAGTACTAATTAATAAATAACAGGTTTTGATTGATATAACTATTTTTTTTTTGAACTAAGTTGCAAGGGGTTGAATTTGAACCATTGCCCTGGAGGTGGAGGAATGTACTTATACGTGGCCTGATGCAACTGGGTTCGAAGGACCAAATGTGATTGATATAATTGTTTGATTATATAATAATTAATAGTTATTATTTAATATTAAACGATCAATAAAGACATATTTTAAAACAATTAAAAGTATTTT